CGGCCGGGCGCGCCTCCTCCTTCCCCGAGAGCCGCGGTCGGCCCTCCGGCCCCGCGCCGCCGCCGTGCGCCCAAGGGCGCCCTGGAGCCGAGAGCTCTGCCCTGGGGGCGAACCCGCGCGCGGCCTGGGTCGCGCTCCAGTTGTGGCCGTGGGGACAAACTGAGTGAGCCGAGAGCCCCGGACCCCCACCCCGCCTTGCACCCCGGAGGGCAAATCTTCCGAGTGGCGAATTGCTCTCGGAGATGAGGCAGTAGGGCTTGCCGTCGGCTGCGCTTCGGGGTGGCCCTGGCGCCTCGGGAATTGGGCCCATTTGTCCTGACCGCCTCACCGAGGCCGCGTTCTGCCGCCCAGCCCGCACTGCGTGGGAGGAGCCGCGGGGGTCCGCTTCTGGGGGCGCCTTCGCGCAGCAGACGGCGCCCGGCCTTGCAGAACACGCGAGAGGCGTTCAAAGGTTATTTCTCCAAGAGCCCGAGTGAAAAAAATGTCTTAAAATGTAGTTTTAAATTATTAAAATGGGTCATTTTAAGGTTCAAATCTGAGATTCTACTATTGTAAAAATGTAGGAGTTTCAGAGCTCCGAAAAAATGTTCCAAAGCAAAGCTAAAATGTATTTAATAAAAGTAGTGGCCTTCGAGGCTCGGGAGTCAGGTCTACCTTCCATCCTCCCAGAGCAGCTCCACCTTCCAGGTTAAGGCCTCAGTTACCTGTCTTTTCAGCGCCAGTAACTCTTCTACTTGAGACCCATAACGCGCACCACAGCCGAAAAGTCTTAAACCCAAGGAAAGATTCAGAGACAGCGTTGTTTAATACATTTTGGATTAAATGACTAAAAAACATACCTATGGGGAGGAGGGGGGTACTAGTGTTTTTTCCTTGTGGCCTTCCTGTTCTCTAGATTTTGGGTTTCTCCAGGCCACCATGATAAAATTATCACAAAATTCTCAACTCGGGTATTTACTCATAAAAGTAAAGAAAAACATATTGGACGACAGGAATGCACACAGTGAGACAATCAGCTGACTTCCTTTAAAATTGAGGCCAAAACACATTTTTAAAGAGCAATTCCCTATTAAATAGGAAGTTTCAGCGCTCTTGTTACTAAGATTTTGTTTACACTGATGGAAGAAAAATTCCACATTTAAAAATTAACTATTACTTCATTATTCGTTTTTTTAAAAATAAATTGTAATAAAGTTCACGCAGTTGCATGAGGTGTTATGAACAAAATCTCACAAATGTTTTTAAGTGACTGACAAAAGAAGCAAGGTTTACAGAAGCCACATAAACATAAGCGTAATGGTACGTAGTATCCAGAGAAATCAGACCCTTCACATTTACTTTTTTTGCAGCTGTGTCAAATCTGTCATTATTACAGCGCTTACCTTTAGTCTTTGTTGCCAGCTAAATAAAGCTTCTCTGTCATCTTAGGCTTGGGTATTTAAAAAAAAAAAATTTAAATTATTCAGACCAGGTTCTCCTGCAACATGACCATTGTTTCCTATGCATGCACTCTCCGATGAACTCAAGGTCCTCTATAAAACAAAGAATTGTGTTAAAGTGAGATAAACCCTTTGTGCGAGGCCAGATGGAAGGAGATCCGGGCATGTGCAGCAGACTCCTCTGGGAATGGAGGGGCAGGCGTGAAGGGCTATTTCTAAACAGTTCTTTACCACAAACCTGGTCCCTAACTCAGCATCCACAAAGAAGGGGATTGTGGAGGGCAAGGATCCAGAGGTTATACGGAACAATGAATAAAATCCAGGCTTGCTTTAGTATGAATAAAAATTCTATGATCAGAACTTTACTGGAGAGGGGATGGAGTTAAAAAGGCTCATAAAAAATATCTGGGACAAAGAAGAACATTAAATATATGTAAAAGCAGATTGGGAATTGTTACACAATATGTATTGAAAAGCCACTGTTTACACAAGTATTTCTTTTACATTTGTTTTTAAGATTAAAGAATTAAACACAGGCACATAGGGCTATCCTAGAAATATATAGATTGGTAAATTATAGAATTCTATGATATTACCAGAACATAGAGTGGCACATAATGGTAGAACAAAATCACAAGGAAGGTTTTTAACTGACACACTCGAAACTTACTAATGCACTAAATTGTATGTATAACTGTTATATTTTAAATATCTTTCCTTCTTCCCAGGCTATTAGCTGCAACAATAGAATTACCATATTGTTTTTTCTTGTTTCAAAGAACCAGATGGAAGAGAAACTGAGCAAGCAAATGAAAGGCTCAGGGGAATCAGAGGAATTGAGCGTTTGTTAAAACCATATCCAGATCACAAGAAGATGGTCCTTGGTAAATGTGCAGTTTTGGTCTCACAATCTTAGGAAAGAACAGTAACCATATTTCAGTTCCGTGTCGTCCTCTGATGGCCTGTTAAAGATCAAGTGAATAATGACAAGCTGCATTATCTGCACTGATGGAAATGGAGTATCATTCTTCACTCCTCAATTTAGAGAACTCCTGGTAATTAACTGGTGAGCTGTCCCCAAGACAGGGCCATTTAGAGTCATTACTGAACTCTAATGGGGAGGGGGGAGATGCTTTCAGAAAGTTCCAATTAGAAGCATTTTCTCTTGTTCTTAGAAGTACACACATTCAAAGGAGGTATGGGAGCGTTCATTTTCTGGAGAGTGTGGCTTGGCATATTGTCTCTGTTCCTGTTGATACTTAAGTAAATAATACAAGGTAAAGATCTTTAAACTTCAGAGTATAGGACTACATGAGCGAACTGAATTTTTTTTTATTT